CCGACCTACAGTCGGTCATCTTAAAAAGAGGAGCACTCCAAAATAAACTGTAGAACTTTGTTTTCCGCCCAGAGACTGCATGGTACGATCCAGTTGGCCTATGCATCTGACATCCTTGTACTACGTTACCTCTTTGTGTAATTCATATGTATTCCTGTAATTTTTCAGATAGCACTGATGATGACAGCTACGCTACTGAAAAGATCTTAAGTTAAAATATACTCTTGTTACTGGAAAACACCTTTTATTTACTTAATTATTAGAGGGTATCTATCTCACCAGGGATCTTCTTAATTGGTCCATTAAATTATGCATCAGAACCATTACAGGCACTGCTTAGGAGACGAGCAAGAGATGATCAGACAGGAATTTAGTTCAGTGTGTTGTGTGTTTATTACAGTGGAACTTAAAAAAGTGAACAACTCTATTTTAAGTGACATGTGCTCTAAGTTGCACAAGACCACGTGAAAAATCCCATGTTTAAAGATTTTGCTCAAGAATATTAAAATTAATCTGTGCCCCACTTAAATGCATTGAAGATCCGACTGAACATAGGTTTTAGATGCTTTTGTTGATGGCATGTTATAACTTTATTTTTATATTAATTTTTAACTAAGTTTATCATATATTACAATTTTTGGAACTGCTGGGCAGGAATTGCATGTCAAAAATTCATTTTCACACCTTGGAATCGTCAAAATGACACATTTTAATGAGGAATTGAACTTTTGTTTAAATATACACCACCTTTTAATCAAAAGAAATGCCTAAGTAACATTTACATAATATGTAAGATTTTGGGATACCTTTTTTCATCTCTTTACTTATGCTGTTTGGGCTTCATGCCTTCAACTGTCCGAATTACCCCAACAATAGCCTTGACAAAATTGAATTAAACTCACTCTCTCTCTTTCTTTTTTTTTTTTTCTTTGTCTTTCTTCTTCCCCAACAGCAATACTGACATCTAGCAAAGTGTAAGACTCAAATTTAAAAGACACTTATGAGAACTATGAAAAATTAGAAAGATGATTTAACACTTAAAAAAATTATAAGTGTGTGGTGGGGAAATTAGCATATAATTTGACCCGCCAAAAAAAATAATCTCATAAAAATTTCACTTCGATAACAGCAACCCTCAGAATCAAGGGTCAATTTTTGACATTAAATCAACCATCTTAATTAAACCTTAGGCAATGACAGATTTAGATAAAACTAATATAACCAAGACAGTTATAAAGTGCAGTCACCAAATGTGCCAAACCTATCTTAAATATCATTTACATTTCATCTTGGGTGGGGCACGAGGTATTATTTGAACTGATTTGTTGCTGGCTGGTTAGTTTAACTTACACATTTTTTTTTCTTTTACCTATATTCTTACTTTCTTTAAATTTGAAAGCTGACATTTAAGGAACACCTAATGTCTATACAGTTATCCAATGACATAAAAAAAAAAATAAAAGAAAGGTATTTCAAGGAAAAGTAGATCTTTGCAAAAAAAAAAAAATCATATTTTAAAATATTTATGGCAGTTAAAATAATAAATAGCAAGTAAAATACTTAAATGGCAACATACTGTTATATGCAATAACACTTTTTTTTTTTTTTTTTTTTTTTTTGAAGGAGTCAGGAAAGGACAAGAAAGAGGAAGCATGGATAGCGCACAGTGCCTGGCCCTTTTTGTTAAGGTACTGCCTCAGCGTTCACTTTGTGTTGATCGGAGAAACCATGGAAAATTACTGATCAGAGCAGCAAGTCACTAGGATTCTCCTCCAGACAGCAGCTGAACTCAACACAGCTACCTAGCTGGTGTTGAGAATCACCATCGGGACTCAAACCCTAATCTTCAAGATTTGGAACTATAGGAAATTTTTCTTATAAGGCATCAAACTGTGGTCATTATTTTATCATTAAATATATTGCTGAAACTGAAACTCAATGAAAAAAGTTTTGGTTTTTTTAAGATATTCGTAATTTTGTGTAAACTAATGTGTTATGTTGCATTCACTTTTTGGAAAGTGACTGATAGTGTAAACAACCCATGACAGATTTTCTGGGAACAGATAATTTGTTATCATATATCTTTATTTTAAATTTTCTAGTTTTGGCCCAAAAATAGGAAATGAATTGGTTCCAAAGCATTACTACTAATTTAAAAAATATTAAATTAAAGCATACAAAAACAATTTGGAACTATTTCAAACAGAAACTGCAACCAAAACTTTTGTTATCAAAACCAATATATTTTGTTAACCAATCAAGAACATTATTTGAAACAGTTTAATGATTTGGTTTGCCCCCACAATGTTATGCCCCATCACCTCTTGTATATATTTTGTGAATGTGCATTTCTGCACTTTCACAAAATATACACAACTAACTATATGAAGGCTGACTGAATCTGAAGCAATTCTGAATGTGTAAAATAATGAACTTAATTTAGTGTTGAATTCATTTATTTGGATATTTCATTTGAAATTTGACAGAATAGAGACACGCATAAATTTTGTTACCTTAACAGCCACTATTTATTTTCAACAGAACATGTAATTGCTTTTTAAGAAATGCAAAACTACATTGAAGCATCTGATATCATACTACTCATTGTTTCTTCCGAATTGTTTGCTAAAGTAGTCTGTTTCTAATGAACATATCTCCTACATTTATAAGAAAGAGGGCTCTGCAGGACTCAAGCTCAATTGAAACACGATATGGAAAGATTAGTAAAGAATGTCGGTACAGTGATTCTACTCTGTGAATCAATGTTAGGGAATCAAAGATATTCCATCTACAACAATGCTGTGAATTTCATACGGGGGTAAGTTTAAAGGCAAAAATGTTATAGTCCATTTTATACAATACTTTCGAAAGATTTAAATACATGCCAATAGCTGCTTCATTTTGATCCACTGATGAAGAAATGTATTTAAGAAAAGAAAATATGCCAAACAAGAAAATACGGCTCTAATACTCACCCTGAACTATCTTTTAAATTGACCTATGTATGTCAATAATATCGTTGAATATTCAATACTATGGCAAA